GGGGAGGGTGGATACTATGGTGGGGGCGGGGGGAGAGAAAAATAAAAATGTGAAATGTATAACTAACAAGGTTTGGCAGCCACTAGGCCGGCCACGTCTAGTGACTGCCAAAGGATTTCATTTCAGATCCACTGATTGGAAAGTCATTGTAGTGCACCTATCAAAAAGCCCACAGGACCTGCAGGCGTACGATATGGAACTGGACAGTGAGTATTTTGTTATTGGGGACACAGCATACACACCTCCTGAGATCGAAATAGTTCCCATGACTACTAAGGGAAAAATATCCAGCCTTATGCTGTTGGCACGTTGCTTGCACCCTCCATTCTATCTAGAAAAGGGGCAAATTCTGGCACAAGCCATTCCCATCCCAGTAGAAATCACAGTAGAACGAAAATCTCCAGAAGTCTACTGGGCGGAAGTAGTAGGAGAGGATAAACCCTCCATGGCATGCAACCTAGCACATGGGTCAGAGCATCTTCAGGTGGAAGGGGTTCTGGACACAGGTGCAGACATCACGGTGATACCCAAAACTAGGTGGCCACCACACTGGGAAGTGCAACCTGTGGCAGGCAAACTTCAGGGTATAGGAAGAACCACATTGGCAAAAATCTCTAAAAATGTAGTGCAAATTGAGGGACCTGATGGGAAATCGGCAAGTGTTCGCCCATTTGTGGCAGACTATAAGGCTCCTCTGTGGGGGAGAGACACCATGTCCCAGTGGGGAGTCCAGTTAATCATTCCTAGGACACCCCAGGATTTTCGGAAGTAGCCGCTGTGGAGCGCCCTGCCCACAAGTTAAAGTGGTTGGATAACACCCCAAAGTGGGTAGCACAGTGGCCTTTGAGTAGAGAAAAACTCGAGGTGCTTGAAAAACTTGTGGAGGAGCAGGTAGCTCAAGGACACCTTCAAGAAACAGACAGCCCTTGGAATTTCCCAGTCTTTGTAATAAAAAAGCCTTGGAAGGACAAATGGAGATTGCTCCACGATCTCAGAGAGATAAACAAAATTGTGGAGGACATGGGACCTCTCCAACCAGGGATGCCGAGTCCAGCTATGCTTCCCCAGGACTGGAAATTGGCTGTGTTAGATATAAAGGACTGCTTCTTCCAAATTCCATTGCGCCCTGAAGATGCCCCGAGGTTTGCATTCTCAGTTCCCACGGTCAATAGAGAAGCACCGATGAAACGCTACCACTGGAAAGTTTTGCCCCAAGGTTTAAAATCCAGCCCTTTCAAATGCCAACAATATGTAGCAGCACTACTGTCTCCAGTACGTGCAGAGAGAAAGGATGCCATCATCCTGCACTACATGGATGATGTGCTTGTGTGTGCTCCCAATGACTCTATACTCCAATACACGCTTGACCTTGTGGTTAAAGTTTTAACCTCTGCTGGATTCCAATTGCAGGAAAACAAAATTCAAAGAATGCCACCTTGGAGATACCTGGGCCACGAAATTTCTGCAAGGACTATTGTCCCACAGAAATTGGAGATCAATTGCAACCCCAGAACATAAGCAGACCTCCACTCGCTGTGTGGGTCTTTAAATTGGGTAAGGCCCTGGCTAGGCCTCACAAATGAAGATCTGGAACCTCTTTTCAATTTATTGAAGAGGGAGAGGGAGCTGACCTCCCCCAGGGAACTGACTCCAGAGGCAAAGACAGCAATCAAAAAGGTAGAGAAGGCCTTGTCAGAAAGGCAGGCACACAGGTGTGACCCAAATCTGCCTTTCCAGTTCATTGTTTTAGGAAAGCTCCCACACCTGCATGGGTTGATTTTCCAATGGATCAAGGGGCAGAAGGACACACTCTTAATCATAGAATGGGTTTTCCTATCGTTCCAAAGATCCAAAACCATCACTAGGCCACAAGAGCTGATAGCAAAGCTGATTCAGAAGGCCAGGGTGAGGTTGTGTGAATTAGCAGGGTGTGACTTTGCATGTATCCACCTTCCAGTCAGGCTTTCTGAGGAGGGAAGGAGCTCTCCTGAGAGACTGACCAAAGGGATGTTTGAGCATTTGCTCCAGAGCAGTGCCAGTCTCCAGCTATCTCTGGAAAGCTATAGGGGACAAATATCAGTCCATGCCCCGTCTCACAAGTTGTTCAATGAGGAATTCCACCTTATTCCTCAAGAGAAAAGGAGCCGGAGGGCGCTCAGGGCTCTCACAGTGTTCACTGATGCCTCTGGGGCTTCCCACAAGTCGGTGATGACTTGGAGAAATCCACAGACTCAGCTTTGGGAAGCTGATGTTGAGCTTGTGGAGGGATCCCCCCAGGTGGCTGAACTGGCTGCAGTGGTGAGAGCTTTTGAGAAGTTTTCCTAGCCGTTCAACTTGGTGACAGACTCTGCCTATGTGGCAGGTATAGTGTCCAGAGCGGAGCAGGCTGTGCTCAGAGAAATAGAAAATGAAAATCTCTTCAGGTTACTCTCAAGGCTAATTTATCTAATCTCGCACCGAGAACATCCATTCTTTGTGATGCATGCGAGGTCACACACTGATTTGCCAGGTGAGATTGCAGAGGGGAACCGAAAAGCAGACTCCTTCGCTGCACCAGTCGAAAAGGCAAGTCTCCCTGATGTTTTCCAACAGGGAAAGCTGAGTCACCAGCACTACCATCAGAATGTGCCAGGTTTGATTCGACAGTTCCAGCTAACACGGAGTCAGGCCCGAGCCATTGTGACCAACTGTCCTAATTGTCAGCTCCAGGCCGTGCCATCGCTAGGCATGGGGGTAAACCCCAGAGGCCTTAGCAGCTGTGAGGTATGGCAGACAGACATCACACACATTCAGAGTTTTGGTCGCCTTGAATGCGTTCATGTGAGCGTGGACACATTCTCAGGTGCAGTGTATGCCTCTGCCCATATAGGACAAAAGGCTGCACATGTTAAACAACACCTAGTGCAAGCATTTTCAGTATTGGGGGTGCCAAAAACGATCAAAACAGATAATGGCCCAGCGTATGTATCCACGGAGTTTCTGGAATTTCTCCAACAGTGGGGAGTGGAACATAAAACTGTCATTGCCCACTCCCCCACAGGTCAAGCTGTAGTCGAGCGTTCACACCAGACGCTCAAGCAGGTATTGAAAAGACAAAACAGCTCAGCTCCGTGGATGTCTCCACGAGAAAAGCTCTGTAAAGCTATGTTTACTATCAATTTTCTGAATTGTTCATTCGAAAATATGAGTCCACCGGTTGTGCGTCACTTTAACAGTGGCAACCAGTTCAAATTGTCTCAGCATCCCCCGGTCTTGATTAGGGATCCAGAAACTTGGGAAACCAAGGGTCCCTATGAACTTGTAACCTGGAGTCGTGGCTATGCGTGTGTAGCTACTCCCTCAGGCCCTCGGTGGATTCCCCAGAAGTGGGTGAAACCTTTTGTCCCCAAGAATCCAGGTCAAGCAGAAGGGGACAAGAAGCAAGTATCTGATGCTTCAAAGAGAAGACGCCGCCGGATGGGAGAAGAAGAAAGTTCCTAGGCATGAATCCCTTCCGGCAGAAACAGAAACTTTAACATGTTCTTAAAATGTTTGGTTTTCCCTTTTAGAGAAGACCTACCTTCCACTCAACCCTGTGATATACCCCATGCGAGTTGTCATCCTGCAAATGCTGAAGAGAATATTCAAGGGATGGGGATTCACGGGGTGGTGGACATCTGTTGTTAGATCAGTTTTGTTAGTCTTTGTTATTCTGTTCTTTGTAACCCTAGCATTCGGGAAACCCATACTCACGGTTGAATTGAGCCCAGTGAATTCCTGTAACCTTGTTTAACAAATAAGGGGGAGGTGTTACGGTGAGCTCCTGGACACCCTTTTGCCCCCCTTTCCTAGGGCCTCTGTGGCTCTGATCATGATAACCCCTGGATCCTCCTCCCTGCCCCAACGGGGTTGGCAGGGAGCCAGGAGAGCCCACCCTGCCCAAAACCTATATAGACCCCTGAAACTTCCTGCTCGCTCTCTTTTGCCCCGCTCTCCATGGACACCACAGAATAAAGAGAGCTGTTCCAACACCCTGGGGTAAGAGCCTCTTTTGAATACTTTTCCCTCTCCTGGTATTTCCTCCCCTCACAGCCCCATATCTCTGAGCTGGTCGGATCCTAGAGGGGGCTGCGTGGAGGGGGGGAAAACTATAGAAATTACAATACAGTGCGAACACAACTCTACAATAAGGGATATATGTATTACATTTTTTGTTTTACTGAAAGAACAAGAACATTGCTAACTTGATAACTTCCATTCCTAAATGAGGAAGCATCTTCAGTAAGGTAGTATTTCAGAGCTCTCGCCTTAGAGCTTTTTACAAATAAAACAGGAATAACTAACTAGGCTATTGCATGAAGCTACCCTTTTTTAACATTCTACCCACTGTTCACCGGTCAAAGTGGTCACCCTCTCCATAATTCTGTCTTGAAATCTGGAGTCCATTATGGCTATCTCTATCTGCAATCTTAAACTTATCAGTATTCTATGTAGCAATTGTCACTCATACACAGGTTCATGTCAGGGTTTTCAATCTAGAATAGTGAGTGCCATCTTATACATGGAATATTCAACCTCAATAGATGATTTTGCTGAGTCTGCAGAAATTTGAATAAAAGCAATAGTTTTCAGGTTAAAGAGTCATAACTTCCCTTCAGACATTTACAATACAAACCAGCAGTTTATATCAGCAAATATTTTTCTTGCCCAGAGAAGTCAATACCGTACAGTTTTTGCAAACCATTCTTCAGGTAAACAAGCTTGCTTTAGCACTCTTAAATGTAGAATTTCTCAGAATTTTTATATGCAACATATATATTTGTTTTACTCTGACTGCCAGCAGATACTTCATTGGCCACAGGAGATCAGAGCCAGAGATAAAGCCAAAAAAACAGAAGTTGAATTTTTCATCTCAGACTATAAAACAGGGACAAGCTACATAAATTATTTCTTTGTTCTGCATATTTTCATGAAAATTAACATTCCAGCCTCTTCTGATCAGATATCAGTTAACATTTTACCTAATGTTTCTGATTGTTGCTCTCTTCATTGGATCTACTTGCAGCATGTGTTTCAGAAGACTAGATACAGATGGATTCAGGTATTGAGGGGTATAAAAGATACCATCACATATCTTCTTAAAAAGGGTTGGCACATGATCGTCATCAAATGGAAGTGTTCCACATAGCAAAGCATAGAGAATAACTCCACTGCTCCAAACATCTACTTCTGGACCTGCGTATAATCTGGGAAAAAAGCAATTTGTGCTTAATACATTTAAATAGATATTTTTTCTACATTCTTAAAATATGTCATTTTAATGAAGAGTATATGAACTTTGGACAACTAATCTGCACTTACTATAGCATTCAGTACTATGCCTCAAACTGTAGTGCCCTTCCTTTTCACATATGTAACAGTAACTAGAAAAGTACTTAGCTTTCCTCTCTATTGTATAAAAATAATCCACAGATACAATTTAAGATAATGGCAAACTGAAAGAAACTTGCAGCTACTACCAAGAAAGCCCATGTTATACATTGCTATCACTGAGTGCAATCTATGTAGTCATCTAGCCTCCAAGTCTTAGATGCTAAGAAGCTTAAGACAAGTCCATATAGCAGAACATGCCACATCTTCTATGCTAATGCATGAATAAAACATACATCTGGCCTCCAATTAGCAAAAGTTATTAGGGTAGGGAAAGCAGCATATTTGACAATCACTGAGTAAATTCAGAATGAATATAGATTCTACAGCAGATATTCAACTGCTACTCAACTTCACAGTAGATTTTGCCTGTATTTCTATCTGTACCTCTACTTCCAAGATCTGAGCTGTAAATGAGATTTTTAAACCAATTCAGGAACACTGTAGACACTGTATTTGGAACATCAGACATCACCTCCACCTTACAAAAACTATTCAAAGATAGGTCAAAGTCTTAAATATTTATGAAAAATTATCAAGGCAATTAGGAGTTCAGCCCACAATTTCTTAGCATAAAGCTTGTGAATTACACTATTTTGTAGCCTTTAGAATTAAGCAGCAAAATGACTGAAGTGCATGCACACATGCATCCAATAGAAAAGTTCATACATGCATCTAGTAGAAAAGAAACTACCTTCCTGAAATTACTTCTGGTGCAGCATAGTTAGGGGAACCACAGCTTGTTCTTAAAAATTCGCCATCTGACATCGTATTTGATAGACCTGAAAGTATATAAGAGTAACTACTAAAGATTCACAGAGCAAAGTCATTTCACACTGCATATACCACCTAGAAAAGATCACTGGCAATTCAAATTAGAAAGCTAAGTAATTTATCTCAGTAAGGAGGCAAAATTGCTTGGAGTGATTGAAATTTTTATATGAGACTGACACATGATCCTGCATTTAGTTTACCAGAAACATGAATAACATCAATCCATTATTGCACACAACCTAAGAATGTTCAAAAACATTAATTCCAAGACAAAAATGAATCCATTCTGGATTACACAAGCATGACAGAGAACAAAGCTGCTCTAAAGGAGAAAGCAACATAGTAATATAGGACTTTGGTCATTAACACAAAAGTGTCTTAAAAACCATATTCTCTTCTAAATGCCAAAGTGGAAGATTCTACCACATAATTGCCTAAAATTCATCTAGAGGTTATATAGAATAAGGGAATTGAGGAGTGTACACAGCCTTGCCACAATTTAGACACCAAAACTGCATCAACTGGTTTCTGAAACACTGCAATTTAAAAATCAAGCTATAGTAAACACTGTTAGTGATTAAAGTGTACTTTAGAACTAAGCATCCTCATTCACCACTCTGGCATACCCTATAATCAGTAAAGAATTACCACTTCTAGAATAGCTGTGTGTCCTAGGTTATAATATTGGGGTGTATTCCATTACCACCTTGAGCTGCAATCCCTTTCTTTCCTTATCTCATGACTGAGAGATAAGTCCCTCCAAGAGGACCTGTTCTTTTAGCCACATGACTGATAAGATCACAGCATTCTATTGTGAGATGCTCCGCCCAGAGGGAGGATCCAAATGATGCCATCAAGGATATAAGCAGGGTTGTGCAGACAGCAAGTAGATCCCCTCTTCCAAGAGGAACAGCTGAAACCTTATCTATACTGGACCTCCAGAGGAAAACTACATCAGTCTACAGGACCACTGCTTTGGACAGAACCATATCTGCCACCACCGCCCTAGCCAACAAGTGTCAGGTTGTATCTCTAACTCTGTCAGTGGTTCTTCTTTTGTGCTATTGTATGTATTTGGTTCTTTGTTCCCTTTTTTCCTAATAAATTGTATTTCTGACTTAGAGCCTCTCACTGGTTTTGCTTTTCAAACCAGGACATAATTTTGGCACCCAATGTGGGGCTAGAAGCTACTAAGAAAGACAGAATTACAATTTCGCTATGATGCTTAACATGTTTATATGGGTCTCATACCTAACTCTCCATGTTTTTCCGTGCACAGGGCATTATCTGCCGATTATAATGCTCCCGTGTAAATCAGGGTACAGTATAAAAATTGCGTTATTGGTCTATTATGTCTATAGCATGATAACCTCAGAGACAATGAATGTAATTTGGAATATATATTCACTTTTGTTTTCTTGTCCTAATATAAGCTGCTGTGTTTGGAGCCTCAACAGTCTCACCCAGCCCCTGGGGGGAGGGGTAAAGAATTACTTTTTCCAGCCTTTCAGGTTTGACACAGCAGTTTTTGAAAAGGTTGAGCTCCCTCTAATACAAAAGATAGCATAGTGTTGCTGTTAGTTCTGTTTTGTCTTCTCTGCACAGCTTGCAACCTGCTTAAGAACAAAGCACTATATGATGTGGTGCAGCGTTTTCTTGAAGAAGAGGAAAGAAGTAAAACAACAGTATCCATGCCCACGCAGACTGCCACAAATGAAGAAGAAACCAGCAGCGAAACAGCATCCATGTCTATACAGACTGTGACAGAAGAGGAAGGAACTGAATGTGAAACAACAGCATCTGTGTGCACACAGACTGTCACAGAGGTAGAAAGAACCACAAATAAAGCAACAGTGTCTGTGTCTACACAGACTGTCACAGAGGAGGAAGAAACCCAAAGCACCATCAGCATCTCCACACAGACCATCACTGAACCAGAACAGCCTGAACCAGTAGCAGTTGCCCCCTTTCAGAAGAAGAAATAAAAAAGCAAATCAGTCCACATAGTGACCAACGAGGACGCAGCAGGACCCTCGCACCCAGCAGAAGAGACAGAGCCAGAAATCATCACTCGGTCTCTATCCCTGGGAGAGCTGCGTGACCTGCGGAGAGAATTCACCTGCCATATGAACGAGTCCATCCTGACCTGGCTGCTCTGCATCTGGGACACTGCAGCCAATTAAACCATTCTCGATGGAAGTGAGGCCAGGCAACTGGGAGCGCTGTCCAGGGATGTGGTCATTGACCAGGGGATTGGGAGAACCCAAGAAAATCTCAGCCTCTGGCGACGACTGCTGACAAGTGTGAGGGATAGATACTTTTGCGAAGAAGACCTCCAGGTACACCAAGGAAAATGGAGCACAATAGAACAAGGTATCTGATGCCTGAGGGAATTGGCTGTGCTGGAGATAATTTTCTCAGAAGACGAGAGATTTCCTAAGAGCCCAGATTGTGTCCAGTGCACATCACAGATGTGGTTGAGATTTGCACAGCTTGGACCAGAGATGTATTCCCGTTACCTGGCAACACTGCAGTGGAGGGAAGGCAAGGACAGGGTGGGTGTCTTAGCCAATAAACTAAGAATTTATGAGGACACTGTCACCACCCCATTTCGTACCCATGTCTCATCCGTAGAAACAAGACTAGCTGAGCAAGTCTGGGGCTTGATTGAAGACAGCCATCAGAAACTAAAAAAGGAACTTAAGGAAGAAGTCTACCGCATCTCACCAGAACCAACAAGAGTCTCTGCCATTAGGAGCCAGCGTTCCCCAGCCAAGGAGAGAGTATACACTCCATGAGGTAACCTCTGGTTTTTTCTTCAGGAGCATGGAGAAGACATGAGGAAGTGGGATGGAAAACCCACCTCCTCCTTAGCAGCCCAGGTACGTGAACTGAAAAGAGGAACCCCCAACACAAGAAGCTCATCTAGAGTCAATGCTGCTCCAGTCTCTCACACACAAAATTCTAGACAAAATAGGAATAATGATATGACCGATCCTCTTGAAGGAACCTCAGGAAGCTATTTGCAGGAAGAGAGCAATGTGTACCACGACCAGGAATAGAGGGGCCCTGCCTCTAGCCAGGTAGAGGACAGGGACAATTGGATCTATTGGACTGTGTGGATCTGATGGCCTGGCACATCTGACCCACAAAGATATACGGCTTTGGTTGAAACCAATGCCCAGTGTACCCTGATGCAATCAAGTTATGTAAGAACAGAATCCATCTCTATCTCTGGGGTAACAGAAGGATCCCAGCAGCTGACTGTATTAGAGGGCGAAGTAAGCTTAACTGGGAATGGGTGGCAGAAGCACCCCATCATGACTGGCCCAGAGGCCCCATGTATCCTTGGCATAGACTGCCTCAGAAATGGATATTTTATAGATCCAAAAGGACATCGCTCGGCTTTCGGGATAGCTGCTGTAGAGACAGAAGACATCCGGAAACTGAATACCTTGCCTGGTCTCTCAGATAACCCTTCTGCTGTGGGACTACTGAGAGTTGAGGAACAACAGGTACCAATTGCCACAGCAACAGTACACCGTCGGCAATATTGCACCAACAGAGACTCTGTGATTCCCATCCATGAGATGATCGGTAAACTGGAGAGCCAAGGGGTGGTTAGCAAAGCTCATTCACCTTTCAACAGCCCTATATGGCCAGTGCACAAGTCCAGTAGAGAATGGAAACTGACGGTAGATTACCGCGGCCTGAATGAGGTTACACCGCCACTGAGTGCTGCCGTGCCAGACATGTTGGAGCTCCAGTACGAGTTAGAGTCCAAGGCAGCAAAGTGATATGCAACCATTGATATTGCCAATGCCTTCTTCTCCATCCCTCTGGCAGCAGAATGCAGGCCTCAGTTTGCCTTCACCTGGAGGGGAGTGCAGTACACCTGGAACCGACTGTCCCAGGGGTGGAAACAGCCCCACCATCTGCCATGGGCTGATCCAGATCGCACTGGAAAAGAGCGAGGCTCCCGAACATCTACAGTATATCGATGACATCATTGTGTGGGGAAGCACAGCAGGGGAAGTTTTTGAAAAAGGAGAAAAAATTGTCCAGATTCTACTGAAGGCTGGTTTTGCCATTAAGCGAAGCAAAGTTGAGGGACCAGCTCAAGAAATTCAGTTTCTAGGAGTCAAGTGGCAAGGTGAGCGTTGTCAGATCCCGACAGAAGTAATCAACAAAATCACTGCTATGTCTCCACCTACCAACAAGAAGGAAACACAAGCTTTCCTAGGTGCCATAGGTTTCTGGATAATGCACATTCCTGAGTACAGCCAAATTGTGAGCCTTCTCTACCTTGTTACCTGCAAGAAGAATGATTTCCACTGGGGCCCTAAACAGCAACAAGCCTTCACCCAGATCAAACAGGAAATTGCTCATGCGGTAGCCCTTGGCCCAGTCAGGACAGGACTGGAGGTAAAGAATGTGCTCTACTCTGCGGCCGGGAACCATGGTCTGTCCTGGAGCCTTTAGCAGAATGTGCCTGGTGAGACTCGGGGTCGACCACTGAGATTCTGGAGTCGGAGCTATAGAGGCTCTGAAGCAAATTACACTCCCACAGAGAAGGAAATCTTGGCTGCCTATGAAGGAGTTCAAGCTGCTTCAAAAGTAATTGGCACCAAAACACAGCTGCTTCTGGCACCCCGGCTACCAGTGCTGGGGTGGATGCTTAAAGAAAAGGTTCCTTCCACACATCATGCCACCGACACCACATGGAGTAAATGGATTGCCCTCATCACCCAGCGCGCCCGTATTGGAAATAGGAATCGCCCTGGGATTCTGGAAATTGTAACAAACTGGCCTGAAGGGGAGACTTTTGGATTATCTTCTGAAGAGGAAGAGCAGGTGGCATGTGCTGAGGAAGCTCCACCATACAATGAGCTACCAGAGACTGAAAGACGATATGCTCTTCTCACTGATGGTTCCTGCCGAATTGTAGGCGCTAACCGGAAATAGAAAGCTGCAGTATGGAGCCCCACACAACAAGTTGCACAAGCCA